ATTCACTAGTTGGTTGAGGACCCCGATCCGAAACACCGACAGATGTCATTACAGACATATCCTAATATCCATAGTACTAAATTTCATGTGAGCGGCAGATGCTAGCATGCCCTTATACATAATCTCATGTTATCACTAGCTCACAAGTTTTACTGGCTGTTCCAAAAATCATCACAGCATAGAAGCATCCTAATTGTTGATTCTAGCAAAGCTTGTTGTCAAATTCACTTGATCTGTAGATTGACAGAAAAGATGTGTTTTTCTACAGCCCTAGTTTGGCTGCACAATTCAATGCTACTTTTGCTCTAGTTCTGCACTAACTCAGATTATAGAAAAACAGCCAACAATGGCCAATACTTGATGCCAGCGAGTTTCTACCATAAACTATACAGACTGATAAGATCATTGGCATGGAATTGATACTGCATTTGTCATGAAAGATATATTCATATCGTTATATTTATGATAAGTTGATAACTATTACCAGCGTAAGTAAGACTATAAAAGGTCAAAGATGTGCGCTGGAGACATATTTTGTTGTCTAATAAAGTAACTAGGAGTAAAACACAAAAGGGTACCAAATCAGGAGCAGTTGTACACTTGTACTCATCAACAATTTCTGCTATCTAGCTCTCAACTAACCCTGGCAAAAACTAAAGCCACCCAATAATATCCAACGATTATCAGTACAGCTGCTAAGTAGTTTTTTATTTGTCTCAGCAAAGCAGGAGCAATCACTTTCATCAATTAACCCTTGTATTAATTGGTAAAAACACCGTGCCAATTTGACAATTATAAGCGCAAACAGCTTGTACCAACCGAACAACAATTTCAAGAACACTTATCGCGAAGATGTCAGAAATACTACAGAAATCAATATCTACAGTTCAGGTTGAGAAAAAAATGATGTAATGTTCAAGAGCGATAAGTTCGACACACCTATTGTCCAGAACGACGAGTCGGTCTTCACGGGGTGCGTCAGGTCGTGCTGCAAAATCACCCCAAAAAAAAATATTCAATCCCCAACCAGACGCGAGGAGATCTAGGGAACCTAGTGGAACCGAATCGCAAGGGAGCCTGGAGAAGGAGCACATACGTTGAGGTACGGTGGGTTGCCGCAGATGCCGACCTCGACGTGGCTAGCCTTGATGGTGCAGCGGAAGAGCTTGGTGGGCACGCCCTTGGGGAGCTCGATGTACATGTTCACCTCCTCTAGCGTCTGGTCCCACTCGAACACCTTCTGCCCTGCTCATGGCGGGGGATGGGGATCGACCCTAAGTCAGAGGGGTGGGGGTGCCGCGGGGAAGGCGGGCTGTGGAGGGGTGGGAGTGCCGCGGGGAAGGCGGGCTGTGGAAGATACGAAGGGGGGGGAAGCGGCTCACCGTTGTGCACGAAGGTGTGGCGCTTCTCGGGGGCCAGCTTCTCCGCCATGGCTGGCAGCCGGTGGGAGCACGTGCTCAGTCCTCCCGACGCGTCTGGAAGATTCCGGACTCTGGCTCGCGTGACTCTCTGCTTAAGGTACGGGTAATAGCCCTCGAAGACGAAGAGCGGAACTGAGGGAGCGAGGACGGTTGCGGCGACGGGAGTGGCGAATTTTGCGGCAGGGGACGCCGGGAGCCCGGGTCGGCCCGGACGGCGCTCGTGCGCTTGAGTTGGGAAAAACAAGGGCGGTTCTGCAGAAGTGCTGCGATGGGAATAACAACCAAAATTCATGGTCCTCACGCTATCAAAATGCCTTCAACTTAGCAAATGATGTAATTTAGATCTTTGTACCATCGTACTGTTATTTTTTAGTCTCTATAAACTTGGTTTTATGTTACATCGGAATCTTAACGGGTTTTACTGTACTCCTACCTGACATTGCACTTTAACTTTGCATTAACGTGGACTCAATATATAGGGCCCACGTATCAAGCTTACCTCTCTCATCTACCCAGAAAATCAGTCAAATGCGGCATTACGCGTCACTCATCATTGCACTCCATTCTCATGCCTCGTTCTCATGGCCGCCACCTCGTCCACCCATACTCGAGGCTGACACTATCTATGTCTCCCATGTCGCCTAGAAGCCAGGGGTGGATAGCGCTGGCAGAGGCGTTCTTCGCCTCCGCCATGGCGATAATAGAGTACGAGGAACGGTTCACGACAACAATGAAGAAAGTCGAGAGGAGCGAGCTTAGCGCCAAGTTCCAAGGCGAAGCCTCGCCGTATGCTCGCCAACCTCGCACCTAGGCCACACATGTTGACGTTCCTACGCTCACACCCCTCGTGACACCTGCTCCACACCCGTGCAAGCACCTCCCACGTTGCTAGTTTCATACTAACACTTGCGCCTCTAGATGTCGACTCCGCGCCCGTGCTCCCGCATCGTCACCCCACAACGCTCTTGGCGTCTGAAAGCTCTAGTTTGGTTTTGATGAATTGATAAAACCCTAAGTGCTAACCTATTACTTTAATGATTGTGAGATAGGTAGCACATTCCAAGTGATGGAGCAAATGGAGAAGATCATGGTGATGGTGGAGAGGCCATGGTGATCAAGTGCTCGGCTTGGAAAAGAAGAAAGAGAAAAACAAAATAGGCTCAAGGCAAAGGTGAATTTGATAGGTCCATTTTGTTTTGGTGATCAAGACACCTAGTGGGTGTGATCACATTTAGGATAAATAGCCGTACTATTAAGAGGGATGAAACTCATATCGAAATACGGTTATCAAAGTGCCACTAGATGTTCTAACTCATTGCATATGTATTTAGATCTAGTGGAGAGCTAACACCCTTGAAAATGTTTTTGAAAACATGCTAACACATGTGCACAACGTGATATACTTGGTGGTTGACATATTTGAGCAAGGGTGGAGAAGTTCGTAAAGTGGAGGAACTATTTCATGTTGACCGGACTCTGAACCGGATCCTACATGGGCGCGTTCGGTCAACGTGGCAGTGTAGTGCATGGCTTCAGGTCCTGACCAGACTCTGGCATAGGCGCGCGACCGGACGCAGCGGTTGCTCGTGACGTATGCTTACGTGGGGGCGTTTGTACTTGGCGCGCAGCGAGAGAGGGAGCGGACGCTGGGGCGCGTCCGGTCACCTTCGACCAGACGCGTCCGGTCCTCAAAATCCTGCTCGGGGTGCTTATTGGAAGTGACCGGACTCCAGGCGATGGTGCGTCCGGTCATCTCAGCAGTGCGTCAGGTCAGTGGCTTGGCGCATGGGCGAGCGGACGCGGTGGCGCAGTGTTAGGTCGACCATGGGTGCGTCCGATCGTTACTTGATCGCTGGCACGGAGAGACTTGACCGTTGGAGATCAATGAACACCGTTAAATGTAGGAGGACGTGTGGCGCGCATCGTGTGACCAGACGCTGGGAGTGCGCGTCCGGTCACCCCGATTGATGCGTCCGGTCATGGCGTAGTGAACTGCAGTGAGAGCCCAATGACTCTATTTCGTGGAGGCTTCTATTTAAGCCCCTTGGCCAGCTCAAGCTCACTCTCTTGGCCATTTGTATTGACATAGCAACCTTGTGAGCTTAGCCAAAGCCCTCCCACTCATCTCCATCATTGATTCATCATGTGAGATTGGGAGTGAATCCAAGTGCATTGCTTGAGTGATTGCATCTAGAGGCACTTGGTGATTGTGTTTTGCTGCGGGATTCGCTTGTTTCTCTTGGTGGTTGCCGCCTCCTAGACGCCTTGGTGCAGCGAGGATCGTCGAGCGGAGGAAGGTGATTGTCTCTGGCTCTGATCGTGGTGATTGTGAGGGGTTCTTGACCTTTCCCCGGCGGAGAGCCAAAGGTACTCTAGTGGATTGCTCATGGCTTATGTGATCCTCATCTTGTGTTGGTTGTGCAGCACCCGGTTGCGGGTTTGGCGTGTGATGCCAATTAGCGTATGAGCCTCCAAGTGAGTGTATCGCCACAATGGGGACTAGCTTGCTGGCAAGCAAGTGAACCTCGGTGAAAAATCTTGTGTCATCTTGTCCCAAGGATTTCATTGGTTATCTTGTGATTGATTGATTGACCATCGCTTGCCACATTGGTATAATTTCACTACCTCACCCTTGTATTTACATTTTTAGTGTAACTAAGCTCTTTAGTGTAATTAGTTTTAAGGGCTAGCTTATGTCGGGTCCAGTGGTTAGTGAGGCTCTTTAGTTAGTCTTTGAGAGCTCACTAACTTAGTGGTAGTGACAAAGCCTCTTATGTGGATTAGAGATCATGGTGACTAGAATTGTGGATAGGATGCTTGCATTTTGAGTAGGCTAGCGCAACACGCTTCGCTTCATAATTGTCTAACCACCTTGTTAAGTGTTGTTCTAGAAATTTTTATTGGCCATACACCCTCCTCCCTCTAGCCATTAGGACCTTTCAAGTGGTATCGAAGCCGTGGTCACCGTGATTTGAGGCTTAACAATCTTCGATGTCAAAATGGCTCAAATCAACAACCCCAAGAAGCCACCCCAATTCGATGGCTCCAACTATCCTTATTGAAAGGCTAAGATGACCACCTATATCAAGTCAATCAATAGAAATATGTGGAAGGTGGTGGAGACAAAGATTGAGGTTGCCAATGAGGAGGCTCCCACCGCCACCGAAGAAGTGCTATTCCAAAACAATGATATTGCTTTTAGTGCCATTCATGATGTTTTGGATGATGGCTCATGAGGCATGGAAAAAGTTGGAGGAGTCATTTGAGGGCACACAAGCGGTGAAGGGTGCCAAGGCATATATCCTCAAGAAAAAGTTTGCTAGCTTCAAGATGAAGAAAGATGAGAGTGTGCCGGAGATGTTCCATAGGCTTCAAGTGCTTGTCAATGATCTCAAAGCACTTGGAGAAGAGGTGAAGGACAAGAACTTCTCTCACGAGTTCTTAAGATGCTTATCATCAAGATTTGGTACATTGGTCACTATTCTAGTGAGGAGTGGTTTGGACACCATGACACCAAACCAAGTATTGGGTGATGTGATGACCGATGATACTTATAGAGATGATGATGAGAAGGAAAAAAAGAAGGAGAAGAAAGACGAGAAGAAGGATGACAAGAAGAAGAGTGTGGCATTCAAAGCCACATCATCCAAGGGTGCGCACAAGCGCACCCACAGGTGTAGCCCCCGAGCCCCTGGGCGGTTCGGGCAGAACCGTCTGGGGCTTTTTTGTGTTGCCAGCGAGGGAGGTTTCTGTTTTGTCGATTGGAGTGCCATGTAGCCTTTCCTGGGGTGTAGTTTCGAGCCCCCAGGCGATTCGGCGTAATCGTGCAGGGGTGTTTGTCAGCGGGCGTGTGTGCGTGTTTTTAGTCGAGATGGAGTTGTCAACCAAGGCGTCGTTGCGCAGCTGAGGCATTTAGTTTTTTAGGGATCGGGTGAGACGAAGCTCGTGGATCCTGGCGTCGATGCGTGTCGTGGGATCGGTCGAGGCAGTTAGTCGTGGATCCTGACCTTGGTGCTACCTATGCAGCCGAGGCGGTTAGTTAGTTTAGCTTAGGGATCGGTTGAGATGGAGCTCGCTGATCCTGGTGTCGGTGCGCGCCATGGGATCGGGCGAGTCGGAGTCGTGGATACTAATGGGGCAAGTTTGGGGTCGCAGACCTAGGTGTTTTTGGCGTGCAGTCGAAGCATAGCCGGATGGGGTGAGTTCGGGGTTGCAGACCTAGGTAGCTTTGGAGTACAGTGGAAGCGTAGCTGGATGGGGTGAGTTCGGGGTCACAAACCCATGTAGTTTTGGAGTGCAGTCGAAGCGTAGCCGGATGGAGTGAGTTCGGGGTCGCAGACCCAGGTAGTTTTGGAGTGTAGTCGAAGCGTAGCTAGATGGGGCGAGTTTGAGGTCACAGACCCAGGCGTTTTGTGTCTTAAGCCCCCAGCCCCGTTGGGCTTTAGTAGGTGTCGGTGTGAGTTGTGTGCGTTACCCCATGCTCGATTCCTCACAACCAGAGGGGTTGAGTTTTGTCGCTTGTCCCGATCGCTCGGGCTCGACTGACGCGCTCGGTGAGTTCGCTAACGGGTATGATCGAGTTAAATCCAGGTCCTTCGTTCATGACGGGGTCGGCATAGCCCTTTTGTGACATTCCACTGCTCCTTTACCTGCAACCCGTCAGATGCCTGGGTCGTTTCGAAGACCGACCCGGGTGGCCTAATGGCCTCCCCTCAATGGAGATTCTATGGGCTTAGCAGAGGCTTAGGATCAAATGAGAAGGTTGAGATGACCCTGTTTGCCAGACTAGGCGAGGACCGCACGAGGCTCATCTGCGATTTCTCCCCTGGCTCTGTCGTTGCTCATGTCGAATGAGGCAACTGCCGCTTTGTGACGCAACATGGAGCATTGTGATGCATTTCGCTGCATGTGCGATGCTTAGTTCTCGAGCCCCCAGGCGGTTCAGGGCCTAAATCATCCGGGGCATGGCGTATGGAATGAATGTGCGTATGGATGTATGAAATGATTTAT